CCGGCAACATACCTCGGCCATCAGAATCGCATGTGACACCTGATTCGCATGACCCCCGCTCACGTCGACCAGACTTCAGCCGACGTCGATCTCCTTCACCCCGTCTTCGGTCTCCTTCCCCCATGCTTCGCCGTTCCAACCACGCCCAGGAGGAAAACTGACAGTCGCAGTTCCTGAGGCAAGAGCTGCGCCACCGACGAAATTTCCAAGGCCTCATCTATCGCCCCCTAACGAGATTGCCGTGTTTGTGGACGGTTTCGCCACAACTGCTCTTGTCGACACAGGTGCCGCTATTTGTATAATCAGTGAAGTGTTATGCCGCAAACTGAACAAAGTGACGACTCCACTGGTTGAAATTTCTTTACGCACGGCGAGTTCGCAACACGTCCAACCTTCTGCCACATGCACTGCTCGTGTTGTGATTCAAGGGGTGCTTTACATCGTAGAATTTGTCGTCCTTCCGCATGCGTCGCATGAAATCATCCTGGGATGGAACTTTCTTTCCGCTAATCATGCGGTTGTCGACTGCGATCGTGCTCAACTCGTTTTGTTTCCATTCAGCACGACATTCATAGATCTCCCTCGCTCACCCAAAAAGGTGATCGTCGCCGCTGACGTCGTCATTTCTGCTTTTTCGGTCACCGCGGTATCTCTTTTGTGCAACTCCGTTTCCGATTCAACTGCCCTATTTATGCCGTCACAAGAATGCGCTCGTCGCCGGAACCTTGTCGTCCCGTTTGCCGTCATAACACTTGCCGATGGCTCCAGTGCCGTGTACGTGTGCAATCCGTTCCCTTGTCCCGCTACCTTATTGCATGGCGAATGCATTGGAAGTCTTGACACTTATGATGACATCTTTTCTTTCGATGCCCGTTCTGATACGACACCGATGTCCGTGGATGCTGTCACAGCTGGCACCGCGCCCTCACTACCTGACGAAGACGTTTTGTTGCGCAGCGTAGACACCGGCCTTACGCAAGACCAGCGCAATCAGCTCATTCAACTACTTGACCGTTTCCGCGCCTCCTTCGACCACGGACAACCTCCCTTGGGACGCACGTCAGTTGTCGCTCACCATATGGACACCGGTCATCATACTCCACTTCGTCAGCGCCCCTACCGCGTCTCGCAGGCCGAGCGTGACGTCATCACTCAACACGTCGACGAGATGCTGCAACGTGGTGTTATTCAGCACTCACACAGTCCTTGGGCTTCGCCAGTGGTCCTCGTGCGAAAAAAGGATGGCTCCATCAGGTTTTGCGTGGGTTATCGTCGACTAAACAACATCACACGCAAGGATGTTTATCCCCTGCCACGCATTGATGACGCCTTGGATTGCCTTCAAGGTGCGGAGTTTTTCTCTTCACTGGATCTGCGCTCTGGATATTGGCAAGTACCAATGGCTGAACCAGACCGTCCAAAAAAGGCGTTTGTGACCCCTGACGGCTTATATGAATTTAATGTAATGCCCTTCGGTCTTTGCAATGCGCCTGCGACTTTTGAAAGAATGATGGACAGTGTCCTCAGGGGACTTAAATGGCACATCTGTCTTTGCTATTTAGACGACATAGTTGTATTCTCGGCGAATTTCGAAACTCATCTTTCCCGTCTGGAACAAGTTCTCCAGTGCCTTACGGCAGCCGGGTTGCAACTTAACTTCAAGAAATGTCGTTTTGGCGCCCGCAAACTCACAATTCTCGGCCACGTCGTCTCAAAAGAAGGAATATCGCCAGATCCTGCCAAACTGCGTGCCGTTGCCGAGTACCCCAAGCCTACTACCCTAAAGGAGCTTCGTAGTTTCATAGGCTTGTGTTCCTATTTTCGGCGTTTCATTCGCAATTTTGCCTCTATAATTGCCCCTCTGACTCAGCTTCTCTCCCGTAGCACGGACCTCTCTGGCTGGAATTCCCACTGCGATGAGGCATTCACGGCGCTACGCCGGCTACTCATCTCTCCGCCAGTTCTCCGCCACTTCGATCCCAATGCACCCACTGAAATTCACACGGATGCAAGCGGTGTCGGCCTCGGTGCCATTCTCGCTCAACGCAAGGATGGCTGCGACGAGTACGTTGTCGCCTATGCCAGCCGTACACTAACGAAGGCAGAGTCCAACTATTCCGTCACGGAAAAGGAGTGCTTGGCTATCATTTGGGCTATAGGAAAATTTCGCACCTACCTTTACGGACGCCAGCTTGATGTTGTCACAGATCACCATGCCTTATGCTGGTTAGCGTCCATGAAAGATCCTACTGGCCGCCTCGCTCGTTGGGCTTTACGCCTTCAGGAATACGATATCCGTGTTGTTTATCGCTCAGGACGCAGACATTCAGACGCCGATGCACTATCCCGTTCTCCACTGCCTCCTGACCTTGCCTGCTTATCAACTGCCATTTGCGATTCGTCATCGTTGAGCATCACTGACATGCCATCCGAACAGCGCAAGGATCCCTGGATCAATTCTTTGCTCGACGTCCTCTCTCACAGTTCGTCAGAAACGACTTCACGCTCCCTCTCTCGTCAAGCAAGACACTTTGCTGTCCGTGAAGGCTTGTTGTATCGCCGCAATTACGTGACGGATGGCCGTAGGTGGCTCCTTGTCATCCCTCGTCATTTGCGTTCGGACATCTGCGCTGCCTTTCACGATGACCCCCAGTGTGGCCACGCTGGAGTATTTAAGACTTACTCTCGCCTTCGTCTAAGATACTACTGGCGCGGCATGTATCGGCACGTTCGCCAGTACGTTCGGTCATGCACCACGTGTCAACGACGCAAGACGCCTTCTCACAGCACTGCTGGCCCTTTGCAACCCTTACCCTGCCCAGCGAGACCATTCGACCGCGTCGGAATTGATATTTATGGTCCTCTACCCAACTCTCTTCGAGGCAACCGGTATATTATCGTCGCCGTAGATCATTTAACACGCTACGCTGAAACATCTGCGCTGCCTGCTACCACTGCGAAAGACGTTGCGTCCTTTCTTCTTCACCATCTCATTTTGCGACACGGTGCACCTCGTGAATTACTCAGTGACCGTGGACGCGTGTTTCTCTCGAACGCCGTCGACGAGCTACTCAAGGCATGTCGCACTGTCCATAGGAAATCCTCGGCATACCATCCCCAAACCAATGGCATGACAAAACGCTTTAACCGTACCCTTGGAGATATGCTTGCCATGTACGCCTCTGACGACCACACTAATTGGGACCAAGTGCTCCCTTTTGTCACGTACGCGTACAACTCTGCGCCACAAACAACCACTGGCTTTTCTCCTTTCTTCCTTCTGTACGGACGTGAGCCATCATGCTCCATGGACAACCATTCTCCCTTACAAGCCTGATGTTTCCGAAGCGACGCCTGTTTCCGAAGCAGCTGCTTATGCCGAAGAGTGTCGTCAACTCGCTCGCTCATTTACCGCACAAGACCAATGGCGCCAGAAAACTGACCACGATTCCTCTGCGTCTACTGTACACTATAACCCAGGAATGCTGGTTTGGCTCTGGGTCCCGTCTACCCCTCCCGGTCTTTCCCCGAAGCTTTCGTCGAAATACCATGGCCCCTACCGTGTGGTGCGGCAAACATCTCCTGTCACTATGAAGTTGAGCCCATTGATCCACCCTCGGACCAACGCTGCCGTGGGCGTGAAACAGTACACGTATCACGCCTCAAACCGTGCTATGACCCCCTTGTCGTGTCCTTTCCCTAGGTCGCCAGGTTGGCTCCTTTCTGCGCGGGGAGTAATTGTACCGAAGCATAGTGGCGCCAGCTCTGTGCCAGCGTGAAAGAAGACGTTGACGTCCGTGTGTGGCTCGTGCTTGCCGGGTTCCTGCCTGTACCAGCTTGTTGCGGCTAGCGTTTCTGGAATAATAACCTGTGTTTTTACGCAACCTTGCTCGTTGCAGTATATTGTATCCATTTTTGCCAGTGGTCGTTATCAAGCCCGACTTTTTAAGCTTATCCTCTTGTACGTTGGCCACTTTGAAGTAGTGCTCGAATCTTTCTACGTGCAAGGCAATGTCTTCATCGTCGTTCTCCAGGAAAGCGTCGTATTCCCACACCTTGGCTGGCCATGCCATTCTCTTGCCTGTCTCAGTCTCAGTCCACCCCTTCGCTTCGCACATTCATGTTCTCTTTGCCGTCAGTTGTAGCTGGGGAATAAGAAGCCAGCTGTGACACGTTTCATGGCAAGCATTTTAATCTCGTAACACAGCATTTTGCTTGGCAATGTATACACACAACTTACGGTGTGTTAGCAGTGATATCACTCCATTTTTCGCTTTATTTTGATACAACAGGGTTATTTACTGGCCCTCTAAGGCAACGGAAGAGAGGTTCTCCTGACAATGTGTTTCTTTTTTTGACTGGATGGTACTGACACTTTCATTTCATCCAGCTGACATGCAAAATTATTTTCTACAGAATGCTTCCTAGACATCGTCGTGCAACTTTCAGTGTATGAACGAATTTGCGGTGAACCTAAAGAAAGCTACTTTAACTTAACTGAGACATTTTTCATGTCCCTGTGCTCGTTCATCAGGAACCCACTGACTGGTTAATTCTGGTTTTCTTGCCTCCTCACAGGAACTGTGAATCTTACAACCACTGTGTACTTCTTCACATGCAGCCTGAGTAATCATTCAATACACTCTATTCAGCCACTCCTTTGTAGCAAGAAAATAGCTTGATTGTCTGATATTGTTATGTATACAAGATAATCTTAAATACTTCATTACATATGTGTTTGTGACATCGAGTTATGAAAGCAGTCGATGTATCAGTGGTCCATGTTTGTGTCTACGCTTGTGTTCACCCAGTTCTTGTTTTGATTTTGTGCACTGTTCTGGATTGCCACACTGTTCGAGTCGGTTAAAGTAAATAACAAGCAATGTCGTTTGGGCTACAGTGGTGTCCCTGTACGCAAATGGTATGCTAATAACGTTTTGATTAGACCTTTGTATCGATAGTGCCATTCTTTCTGCTCACTTATCTCACTCTTTTTTCAGAAGAAAAAAATGCAATGCAAGAGAAAGAGCTTCGTGAAAGGTAGGAGTGCATACCTTGCTATTTATTGCATTGTTTTGTTGTATTCAAGAACACCTGTGTCTTTTTCTTAAAGGAACACTCACACAAAAATTGTGCATTTAGTTTTTTCTGCTTGCAATAGTTAGTTGACGAGGTACTTGTCATGGCGGGAAAGCTCGTTTCCTAGAGTGTACAGGGGGCAATTATTTCGAGATAGTTCAGAAGTGCTCAGTCAAAGTTTTGATTTCAGACGATGTCGAGAGATGTAGGACCGAGAGTGCTTTTTGTGTTGATGTAGCCGGCTGCGTGAGCACACAAAACCGCATGCACATGAGCATCGCATTGACAGCTTTCTTTAATGAAGTCCTCCTGGGTGCTGCTGTGATCCCCTCTTAGGTGTTGCAAATACGCATGATTCTTCTTCTCCCCCCCCCCCCCCCCCCAAAAAAAAAAAAAAAGGCACTGCTGAGGCAAGGACACCAGCCTTTCTACTCCTGTGCTAGTGAATTAAAAGCTCTGTTAGAAGAGCACTCACAAGGGTCGTGAAAGCCAACAAAAAATCGTGATACAGGGCGTGGTTTATTATTTACCCAAGAACCAAAGGCGTGTTTTGTGTGCAGTGGCACAACATGCACTTTAAGATTGATTTTAAATGTGTTCTAAGCGATATTATCCTCTGATATCTTGTAGATGATAGCTGTGTGTCTATACAGATCTACCTCGCACATGGTGATGCTACCGACTGCGCCAGTTGTACCAAACTGCGCCGCATTGTCCTGGCTGCTACACCTGCTACATTTCCTCAAAATATGGAGAGTCTGCGCCAAAGGGCGTGCTCCGACTTACAGAAACAAAACTACTTGAGGTTCTTAAATTGAAAATGACATTGTGTTGCACTTGGGTAAGACGCAACTTGAGCCAAACCAAACCAAACTGAGCCAAATATCGCTGTTCGGACCATGAATGGTAGGGACGCAGTGAATGACCAATTTTTCAGACTTTCTAGCGACCGGAAAATCGTCTAAAAAAAGATTCATGGCTTTTTATTCCGCTCAGGTAATCAAATCACCACAGCCCCATCTGAAATAGCTTCAATGCCTCTTAGAGTGCACTTATCAGGTATTTCGGTGCACGCCCTGGCTGTCGTAAATACATTCAGGGCCTGCTGACGTTCATTTGCAAATATGCATTGTGTGATGAGCGCTGCCGATACCAGGAATGCGCGGAATAAGTTGTGGATTTATCACATGAAGCGTGTGGAAATCATGATGCAGAACATAAAGGATGTGGCAGAATAGAAGAAAACTTGTCCGGACCGCCGCGATGCGTGTATGCTCTTAGAAGATGCGCCACTGTACGAAAATCTCCGGCGACACGTAGCACTTGCTGCCACACGAGACCGATCGTTCTTAGTTGTGTGCAGCACATCGCCTACACAGCTGACGCCGTTCCTACCGGCACACTTTCGTACGGATGTGTTTATCATAAAAAAGTGTTCTTGATGCTCACTTTGTTCCTCGTCACACACGGGCGTGGCGATGGCGAGCTTCTTTCGTTTGTGAAAGCACTGCGTCTGTGAGGCGAGCTTAGCCGGTTCGCATCAGTGATTAAAAGATTAAAAGGGTGCAGTATGCCCGCAACTGCGCCACATGCAGTAACAAGCAATTGGCTGAAGATGGTTGTAATAAAGCGATTAAGTCTTGCTGGCATGTTTGCAGTATATCCGTCATCACGCCTCCGAGCATTTCCGGTGCTTATCCGTTAGACATCACCTCACTCCGCGATGATATTGGCCCCTTCGATTTTTTTTTATCTGCTTCACCCCATAGCGCTTACGCGGTGCGGCAAAGCCGACTTTTGGACATTACTGTGATGCCGAGCGATACTTTAAGGTGCTCGTTTAAGCCTACGAGGTCATAGACGTAGCAAAGTTAGGGGCTTTAAGTAAGGCAGTTTCATATTTGGAGTGTCGGCTGAAAGTCGAAAAAATCGGACGCCGAAGAGTTTCAGCGTCGAAAATTTCAGATGTTCTTATCCATAGACGTCGATTGGGTTTGTGATGCTGTCGTGAACTAGTCTGAATTTGCTAGCATGTCTGAAAAATCTGGCTTCCAAAAAATTCGCAGTCAACCAATCTTCAGTCACGTTATACAAAAGTGCTATGGTTTTAAATTTTATCATTGGCTTTGTCTATTTAGTACGGTCCGGATATCTGTCGGTGATACTATTTTCTTTTCTTTCTTACTCTATTATGCTTCAATAGTGTGCAGTACATCGCAATTTTATCATTTGTGTATCATGAATACAGTATTCGAAAAATGGCAAGAAGGGGTGGATGGAACCTTGCGATGAAACAAATTTGTAAACAGGGATTGTGTCGGGTCGAAGTTTCGACAAGCGGAGTTTTCTTTCTCAAGGCTAGAACAGAACAGCCTTGTTCTGAGGAATTTGGGCGCACGTTAAAGAACAACAGGTGGTCCAAATTTCCGGAGCCCTCCACTACGGCGTCTCTCATAATCAAATTGTGGTTTTGGGACGTTAAACCCCACAAATCAATTAATCATTGTTCTGAGGAAGACAAGACCGCTTGTCAGAATAGGGGCTCGACACAACCTCTGTTTACGGATTCCTTCGTGAACACAATAGGTGTCTTAAAATTGACTCCTGTAATATCTGCTCCAAAACCCAGTTTTGCTGCTCCAAAATGCATTTTTGTCTGTTCCAAAAGCTGCTCCAAAGCAGCCTAAGCCAGTAGCATCACTGCACACGTTATCTTGCCTTCAAAACTTTTTCAGTACTTCTTCAAAGGTGCTTCGGACTGAGTTATCAGATCTACCTTTGACCAAGCAAATATGTCAACTGACGACTTGACAAACCTCAGAATGGTTTACGTGATGACGCCATTAAAAACCTAATTGACAATGTGGGTACGCTTTGAAGATGCGAACAGGGAAGGGACAGGACATACACAGTGCAAGTTTCAACTACTGGCTGCTCCAAGCCTGCTCCGAACTGTCTTTTTGGCTGCTGTATGCTTGTTTTGCCTTTGCTCCCGGGACTGCTTCCAAACCCATCTACCCTATTTCACCTTTTTTGTTATAGGTGAGTGTGTGTCGAGATGCCAAAGTCGGCGACCGGCGTTGCACGAGATGCGCCGAGTGACGTAAGCGGGAGCATTTGAAGCGAGTGAGCCCCCACTCTTGCACGGCAGATGGCTTCCAGCTAACGACAGCAATGCATCGCTTCGGCGTCTCCCTGCTACCCCAATAAATGCTGCCCTGTCTTGTAAACGCGTCTTGTTGATAGTGGCTTGCGAACATCACAACTGGTGACGAAGGATAGTGAAACCAAGGCAAGATGCAAGAATGAAGCACTAAAGCCTGGCAACAAAGCACCGATAACCTTCTGAAGAGCAGCGCTAGGACAAAAAGCGACAGATCTAGGTTGAAAGCGGCCAGTTAGATTGTCTAAGTTGAAGCCTTCGGCGAAGCTGTGACTGACCTTACTAAGAGCGTCTGTTTGTTTTTTGCGGTGAACAAAATTCCAGAAGATCTGAAGGTGCATACCTTGTTTAGCATCATTGGGCCGAAGTCGCGCAGCCTCTTGAAGTCTCTGCCTGCACCAGAAAAGCCGTTAGAGCAGTTAAGGGAATCGCTTTGCAATCATTTCACCCCGAGAGTGTCTGTGATCAGAGAGAGAGCGAAATTTCACAGGCGATGTCAGCTGCAACATGAAGGTATCGCACAGTCTGTAGCCAACCTCGGAAGACTCGCTCAAACCAGTGTATTCAGCACCTTCTTAGATGAATCACTTTGAGACAGGTTGGTGTGCGGTTTATTCTGTATGAATATTCAGCGATACTTGTTTGAAGACAAAACGCTGACACTCCAGAAAGTCGCTGAATGCGCACTTACACTGGAAAAAGCTAAGAAAAATTTTGAAGAGATGCATGCCAAAGAAGTGATCTTTCGAGTGTCATCATTGCGGCCTTGACCAGCATTGTGTTCGTGCCTACTGATAAATGCATCAAACTGTGGCAAGAAGGGACACATTCAGTGTGCTTGTCGTGGTCCAAGCAGAAGTCAGCGAATTCCAGGAAATCGATACGCACTCTGCACAGACAGCGTCCGAACGCTGTCTCGAAAAACCCAGAGTCCCATGATTGTTGTAGTCAAAATTCAAAGTGTACCAATAAGTATGGAGTTAGGCACCGGTGCCACAGTGTCTGTGATATCAAGACAACAGTTGAAGAAGATTAGACCACATTTGAAGCTGGAATTGATGGAGCTGCGTCTGAAAAATTGCACAGGAAAGTTCGTTCATCCCAGCGGCGTCTTGAATGCGTCTGTGCGGTACAAGGACCAAGTTAGTGACCTTCTGCTGTATGTCATGGACACTGAAGGACCAGCTCTGCTGGGCCGCGAGTGGCTCAAAACTCTTCCCTTGAACTGGGACGAAATATGCGGTTTACGCAAGCTCTGCAATGACTCACACCATGACGCAAACTAAGAGGACCACAGCATCTGACTGAAAGGACTCCTCCCAAGTACAGCGCCATTTTTGACGAGAGCCTTGACAGAATGGAAGGTGAGCAAGCTACTTTACTTGTTAGAACAACGTCCAAAGTTCCTCAAAGCTCGAAGCGTACCATATGCCTTACGTTCAGCAGTAGAGGAAGAGCTGAGAAAGCTGCAGGAAATGGGCGTCATTTACCCAAGTTTTCTCTAGTAAGTTTGCCACACCAAGTGTACTGGTTGTTAAAAAAAAAAAAAAAACGAGGCAATACGTGTGTGTATGTGTGGAGATCAAGACAAATTTGAAACATGTCCAAGACACAGAACAGTATCCTCTACCAAAGCTAGACGAGATTTCAGCTACACTTGCCGGAGGGCGGTACTTATCGAAGCTGGATTTAAACAGAGCTTACCAGGAGGAAGACTATAGAATGCTTCTCACGTTGAAGATGCATAAAGGGCTATTTGCAGCAAACAGGCTGCCATTCAGAATTGCCTCAGCGCCGG